AAGACAGAGAGGCCACTTGACTGACAATAAAGGCACGGGGGGTCACAGTCCCTCGAATTCGTAACTATTTGCCAACTACCACAGACGAACCCCTACTCAGATACTTGTCTGCTGGAATGCATAAAAGAGATCGGCAGTCGACCGGACACTGTCATCATGGGGACTTTAATGAACTCTGCATCCAATGGAGCGATACGAGTGCGAAGTGCTCGAGATATACCTTCGACCACCGTCTCCTAGAGACAAAACTAGAAGCTCTTCTCACACAGCATGCTCCATTTCCAACCAGAGCGCATGAAGGGCAACAGGCTAGTTGCTTGGATCTCGTCTTCGCCAAAGATCCTGACATAATAGACGGAGTGTACTGCCTGCCTCCGCTCAGTGGAAGTGATCATGCAGTACTTCTATGAGATTACGAACTATATTCTGCACCGTATGCAATGATTGAGACTAGGCTAATTATATGGCAAGAGGACTTTTGCCAAATGAGTGCTGCAGCATCACAAACAGACTGGGGCGTTCTCTTCTCCGGGAACGCCACTGAGGACTGGAATCTACTTAAGGGTCGACGATTGCACCAAATGAAGAGCCACTGCCCCTTGTCAAAGCCTAGGACATCTAGCTGACCTCAGTAGCTAACGCGAGGTCTCAAAAAGGAGATTAACAACAAAGAAAGGCTATGGAAGAAGTTTTTGCAGAAACAACAATAATACGGCGTATACAGAATACGACGTCCAAATGAATAAGGCGATGGGCCTAGTTTTCAAAAGACGACAAGATTTCGAGAGTAATCTGCTCCGCCGAGCCTTTAAAAATCCAACGTCGTTCTACAGCTACTTGTGAAAGAGCACCCGTAACAGGAATCGAATTCCTGTCATGAGGAAGGATGATGGTTTGGAGATATCGGACATCAGAAATGAAGCTGAGCATTTTTCTAAGTTCTTCCAATTTGTTTACCTGGGAGAAACCGTTCTTATTAGACCTATTTCCGAGAGCACGGGAGATCCGATTACTAAAAATATTGTTTTTTTGAGAAGAAGTGATTTTTTGAAGAGCTAAAATGCTTGAAGGAGTGTAAATCTCCTGGTCCGGACGAGATTACAGCAAAATTGCTCTTCGGGCTTGCCGGAGAGTTAGCCAAACCGTTATCTTATCTGTGTTACGCATCGTGTAATGCTAGAGTCCTTCCCACAGACCGGAAAACAGCTCACATTTCACCGCTTTACAAAAGCGGCAGTCGCACACTTGCGACCAACTACAGGTCCGTTAGTTTAATATCAATCAGCCAGAATTTCTTGGTGAATAACCTACCCCTAATCTCGCCATTTTTATATTTTCGGCTTCTTACGTTTTTGGGGCATGTCAGCGTCGTCCTCTGTTATCATTTCTATATTTCTCTGTACTCTTTCGCGCTTGATTCTGACTGCCAAATACGCGTAGAGTATTATGTGTGTGCTCACCTATCGCTCTTACGAAACACACTCGTGTACAATTTTATATTTTTGCTCGCAATCGGCAGGACATCGAGCCCGTGGCTCAGTGATTAGGAACGTTGGTTTTCTTATGGGCCATAACGGGATCCCCCGTTTTTTTATGTTGCATGACCGAATCTCATGTGTTCCACAAATAGTGGTTCAGTTTGACCGGCTGACGGCTGCTAATAGGCCAGAACTGGCGATTTTTTTTCTCCCTTGTATTTGTCCGTAATGCCAGTCTGCCTATATTATTCGCCGCCGTGAGGCTGCTGGTTGGGCTTGAGAGAGAGCCCTAAGGTACAACGGGACGAGTGAGTTCCGTATCACGATCGGTGAGCACCCCTCTACCATTATGTATATTTTGACAGAAAAACACCAAGCTTTCTGCTTTTGTTGTGCTACTTTAATGTTATCGGTAACTAGTCCGTACGCAATGATCGTCTCTCACTGAGAGCTTGGGTGTACCTTCAAATACTAGTGGTCTCGGTGGGAACTAGCGGGAAGTGAATATCTGCCAGTAGTCGCAGCTTGTTGCCAGGTTGACGGGGGGCAGAAGAAACACCGACCCGCTCGTCGACAGCCGTCCGATATGCTGACAGGCATTGCGGACCCACGGTTGACGAACGTATATAAGATTCTCTCCATCGTTCTCTTCGGTCGCTCACCAAATCCATTGCCTTCTGGGTGGTAGGTGATGATTCTTGTCTTATCTAGAGCAGAGAGCACAGGCCGGCCAGGAGGTGGGCCTCGAACGCCGTGCCCTAGTCAGAGCGTATTATCGTGAGTGCCCCATAACGGCCAGTTTAATCGTTGATGATGTCCGTTGCTACTGACTTGCGTCTTGATTTTGTAATGGTATTTCCTCACGCCACTTAGTAAAGCAGTTGACAATAGCTAGTATGAACCGGTTCCCACGACGAGCCGTCGGCAGCGGTCCCATCATGCCTATACCGATCCTGTGACTGGATTCGTCCTCGCATGCTTTTATTACATATTTCCAGGAGTTGTTCCCCGCTTGGTTTGGACCGTAAAACTTGCATATGTTCTGACAGAAAAACACCAAGTTTTGCAATAATGATCCTTGAAACACTTGCAAAAGTAGATTCGGTGCCATGTCATATTTGTGTGAAAATCCGTTATACACTCCGATTTCTGTGTCAGTTCAAGTCAGGACTATGAAGGCTTGGTGAAGATTTGAATCTAGCTTTGCGGACTTAGCTTCATGTATTTACATTCTCCAGCTTTGGTCTAGGCCGCCGTGTCCCTCCACCAACGTATTACTGTTGACGCGAATTCTATGTGTGCTTTTTCGGTGGTTTATGCGCACCTCCACTATATAGACTATCCAGCTCTCCGCCGAACACTGACTGTTTCTCCGCTCGCATTAGCTAATGCAGGCATTTTAGCAGGTCTGAGCCGAAACACTCAAACTGATTTAAAAGAACCATCATCTCCACCACCTTTATCAGTCGCTCATGGATTGTGGATGCTCCTGGTAAATGTTTCTGTTCTGAAGATCGCGGCGCAATTGATACGTTTCGATATATGAGGACGTCTTTCTTGAGTGATCGTGAAGTACTTACATCCATGCTATGTAAATGAGTGCGCAGCAGAAATTCAGATACAGAAAGTTTGTGAATGAGATGTATAA